ATTTTCACAGCAGGAATGCTGCTTTAATCAACCCTATCTTTTGTGACTCCAGTAATCAAGGCATTAGGTTTTATTTAAGTGAGGTTTACCCTTTACACTTAAAGTATTGATGAGACTATAATTATGGGCTGGTTAGGTTTTTTTTTTTTCTCCCCTGCTGTGGACATCCGTGGCTGTTCCCTCTTCACTTACAACAAAAAGATCCTTAAGGGAGAGGTAGCAAATGAATACTTAGGAGATCCCTGGAGAAGGCGTTATCCCATCTTTTCAGGTATCAGAGGGTGAAATAGCATAAATTTGAGAGATGATAGATGTCCTGCTCTGGGTCTATTAAGTGGAGGGAACTTTCCTGGGAATAACTGTAATGTAATCGAATATTGGACTCACTGAAATCGGAATCCTCTTGTTTTCCCAATGGGTTTGGGTCAGGGTCCCAGTTCTTTTTCTTAAGTGGATGCTTAATATTCCCGATAGAATAACAAGGACATCACTAATATTTACTGAGTGCCAAACACTTTGCTAACCACTCAATAATTCTCTCTTTCAATCCTCGCAGCAACCCAATGAGGCAGAGACTATGCTTATTCCTATTTTACAGATGGGAAAGTGGAGGCTCAAAGAGGTGAACAATATGCCCAAGGTAGCTAGCTAGCTCTTGCACGGTGAGGCTAGAGTTCAAACTCGGATCTCTCTGGCTCGGAGCGTCAAGCCACTCTGCTATAACTCTGACTTTGATTCAAGAACTCCGTTGTTCACCAAGCCGACTCCTGGCATCGAATCTGGCCCTGGCATTAATACATGGCTTCAGGAAACACAGCTGTTTGGAGGAGGCAACAGCTGTTCATTCATTTACCACTTCACCAAGCCACACGAATTAAAACACCATAAGGTAAGGCTCACTCAGTCTCAAACACCAGGATAGGTAATTATTGCTTTCATAAAAAAAAAAAAAAAAATACCCTTCCCCTTCCTGCCCAAAACACTTGAGTATTGATTTCTGTAGGAGGTGAGGGAATGATGTAGAGCAGGACATTTTCGTATGTTATCGATGATAATTCTATATTGTGTACGTTTTGAGAGAGAGACAAATCAGGATGCTTATCATTCATTCATCCATTGAATCTCTCTCTCAACGAATGTTTACTGAATACCTATTATGTGCTAAGCCCAGCTCTCAGCACTGGGACACCGTAGGAAACCTTCATGGACAAGAAAAATCTGTCCTATTTCTTTAGGAGAGATAGCTGGCACATCCTTGCAACTGACGGGGAAGGGTTCCTCGGTTCCTCGTCAACTGGATTTCACGAAGCATTTCTCAAATCATCCCTAAAACCTCTCCTCCCTTACACGTCTCCAACAGGACGAGGAAGAAGGGAGCGTGTACGCAGTCCTAGAACTCAGTCCTTTGCAAGAACCCGGGAACATGTGCGGCCACGGTCTGGTAAGTACCTGCTTCCACCTTCCCTTTTGGGACATTCTTTCCCTCTCGTGGTCTCTGTCTTCATTTGCTAGGGCCGCCACAACAAAGTGCTACACACTGGGTAGCTTAAACCACAGACATTTATTTTCTCAGATAATAATCAATCTCTCGAGGGGCTGGAAGGGGTGATTTCTCTTGAAGCCTCTCTCCTCGGCTTGCAGATGGCCACCCCTTTGCACCCCTGGTATCTCCCTGTCTTTTTTTTTTTTCTTTTTTAAGTTTATTTATTTATTTTGAGAGAGAGAGAGAGCACAAGCAGGGGAGGGGCAGAGAGAGAGAGAGAGAGAAAGAGAGAGAGAGACAGAGAGAGAGAGAGACAGAGAGGAAGAGAGAATCCCAAGCAGCCTCGGTGCTGTTATTGTGGAAATGGACCAGGGCTCGATCTCACGAACCGTGGGATCACGACCTGAGCTGAAATCAAGAGCTGGATGCTTAACCAACAGAGCCACCCAGGTGCCCCTCTCCCTCTTTTTATAAAAGGACACTAGTCATATTGGATTAGGGCCCCATCCTTATGACCTAATTTAACCTTAATTACCTCTTTAAAGACCTTGTCTCCTAATAGAATCCTTCTGAGGTCTTGAGGATTAGGGCTTCCACATAGGAATTTTGGGGAGACACGGTTCAGCCCATAATAGCCTCTCTCTCTCTCTCTCTCTCTCTCTCTCTCTCGTCCCAAGTGCCCAGTAGTGGCACAATGCTAATGAGCACAGACAGCTATGTGACCTTGGAGAAGCTCTTTAAATACCCTGCCTCCATTTGTTCATCCAAAATACAGGACCCATCCTATGACATACAGTTGTTAGAAGGGTTCAATGAGTCAACAGGTCTAAGGACTTAGAACAGCGCCTCGTACAAAGGAAGCACTATATAAGTGTTTAGTAAACATCAAAATTAAAAACTCATTTTTACTGAACTGTGAAGAGGGTGTTATTTACTCTCCCCAAGGCTTTGCTTTTTCTGGACAACACTTAACATCAGCGATGGAACAGCCAACTCACAATAGGGGAATCATGTATCATTGAGGGTGTGGGCCCTCCAACATTCTTCAAAGCACGCTGTTTCGCTTACAAGATCTACTTTAGAATATTAATAGTCAACATTTTTTCTTAAGTAGGCTTCATGCCCAGCGTGGAGTCCGACGTGGGGCTTGAACTCATGACCTGGAGGTCAAGCCCTGAGCTGAGATCAAGAGTCGGAGCTCAAGCAACTGAACCACCCAGGCACCCCCAGTAGCCTGTATTTATTAGATGCTAACAATAGGCCAGACACAGTGCTCAGGGCATTACAGTACGGTCTTATTTAATTCTATAAGGTAGGTACTATTACTGTTTCCACTTTACAGATGGGGAAAACAGAGGCTCCGAAAAGCCTTATCTCAAGGCTAAGATCTCCAGTTGGCGAATGGTGGGGTGGGGTCAAACAACTCCAGCATGAACAAATTAGGGACTGTCAGATGCGGAGTGCGCGGGTGTGTGTGACTTCTCTTTCCTCCCACTCTGCATCACCCTTCTCTTTTCCCTCTGTTGAGTGACACATCCCCACGGCCAAGGCTGCACTCTCTTTGCTACAGAAAACATCCAAGCGGCTGGGACCCAACCCAGCGCCACCTTGCGAGCCTAGCATTTCGAGGGGCAGGCTTCCAAACAGGGTAATAATCGTCCCATTAAAATTAATGTCCATGAAGTGAGCCGTTAAAAGCGTGCAGATTAAAAAGGGGGGGGGGGGACGGAATTGTTCAGTTTAAATCCAAAGGGCTTTTCAAATAGACACTGTATCTTCATTCTTGGAACGCTACACCGGGCAATGGATCAGGTCCCCTCTGCACAGACTAGGGGGGATTAAGGAGGTGAGTCCCCAGAGAATGAGAAAGTGGTTCTGGCCAGGAGCAAAGGGAACCAAGGTTTATCCAGGGCCCACTGCATGCCAGGTGCTTGGCATACATTTCTCTCATTTAATCTCTGCCCCAATCCTGGGAGGGAGGTATTATTATTCCCAGATTACAGGGGGCAGTATAAAACCATGGTTGAGCGCTTAGAGCCTGCAACATGCCGTCCTAATTTAGATCCAGGTTCACTCTTCACCAACTCTGTGAACTTGGGCAAGAGGCCTTGACTCCCCGTGCCTCAGTCTCTCCATCTGCAAAGTAGGCCAGTAAGAGCACCCCTCCGACCCCAGAAGTGTTAGGGGATTTACTTTAGGCAGCCAGGCAGGGACCTTACCCCAGTAACCTGCACAGAAGGCGCTCAGAAGGTAAATTTCGGCCCTTACTAAGTGTAGCAAAACGCACTGGGCGAGGGCAGGGCCCGCCAAGATCACACCGCGGAGCTGGGATCTGAGCCCCGACCGTGCTGGAGGCCAAGGGGAAATCTCTCGTGATAAATGCAAACCCAAACGTGTTCATGGTCTTGAGAATCTTTTCCAAAAGACCCAAGGACTTGGGCCTGGGCGACGCTCTGCCCGAGGGAAGGAGAGAATCAAAGTTTTTTCATCAGGTTCCAGAGAGCCGGCTTGGAGACGCCTCTGGCGCCTCCAGTTTTCTGAATCCCAAAGTTATCCGAATCCCATTAAATTTAAGAAGGACTCATTATCTCCCCCCAAAATCCTGAGTGTCCCTCGCCCATCTATATCTTCAGTAGCAGGGACAACTCCGGCCTCTCCAGTCTAAAGGCTCCTGAGCCCCTCCCCCTCGTCGGTCCCAGAGGGTCTGTGTCTCCACTGCCCATGAAATCGGGATCGCCGCTAGAAACTGGAGCCCCGGCAGGAAAACAATATTCACAAGGAAGCAGACAAAAATAAGTTACCTTCTAGAAAGCCCTTTGCGAGGGTCTTTTCGGGTGCGGTGCGTCGCGAATGCGCGCCTCTGCGCCCCTCCGGGGCTAAGGATCGACCCCTCTCACCCCCCCTACCCCACCTCCATCAAGCGCTCTAGAGGCGGTGGGGGCGCTTAAGGGCCTGGCCGGGAAGCTCAGAGCGGGGTGGGGGCGTGTGTTGGGTGTATTCAAATCCGAAGCCTATAGGTGCCGAGTCAGACCTGAAAGTGGGCAAGTTGGGTCGCATCTGGCTCTCTCAGGAGATTTTTGAATCAACCCACCTCCCCAAAACAAAACAATAGCTTCGGAATATTTTTGAATAATGCAGCCGGATTCGATACCAGCTCCATCCAAAACGGCAAACCAGCCTGCTTCCCTCGCCAAATCGGAACCGGAGCTTTATTCAGGAGAAAGGGAAGGAGAAGGCCTTCCCTCGCGCTCTCCGCCTCCGCGGGGCCCCACGCGGCCCCCCAAGCCCGAGACCTCCCCGGCGGGGGCCTCGCAGCGTCCCCGCGCGCCGCGCTCCTCCCCTCCCAAACGCGCGCCGCCCTCTCGCTGCCGGCGCCGCTAGGGTTAAAAGTTACCTCTTGGTTTCTTCTGCCTGCAGCCCCCCCCCCCCGGGGGCCGGATGATGTAACCCCCCTCCCCGCGCCCTCCCCGCCCCCCTCCACCATGTGACACTTTAATTAATAATAGCGCCGTCAGCACAACAAACGCACAACACAAGGAGAAACTTGGTGTCCAGGGGAGGCCCCCGGCGGCTGCAGCGCGGCGGAGGCAGGCGCAGAGGCCGGAGGGAGCGGAGGCGAGGGGCGGCCCGAGCGCGGGGAGGGAGAGAGGCGAGCGGTCATGTGCCCGTGCCCCCTGCACCGCGGCCGCGGCCCCCCGGCCGTGTGCGCCTGCAGCGCGGGCCGCCTGGGTCTGCGCTCGTCCGCCGCGCAGCTCACGGCCGCTCGGCTCAAGGCGCTCGGCGACGAGCTGCACCAGCGCACCATGTGGCGGCGCCGCGCGCGGAGCCGGAGGGCGCCGGCGCCCGGCGCGCTCCCCACCTACTGGCCCTGGCTGTGCGCGGCCGCGCAGGTGGCGGCGCTGGCGGCCTGGCTGCTCGGCAGGCGGAACTTGTAGGAACGCGGGGCTTCTTGGTGGGGCCGGAGCCGAGACCCAGCCGGAGAGAGCAACAGGTACGCGAGCGAGCGCCAGGGCGCGGTGGCTGGAGACTGGTCACGCAGGGCAGGCCGGGAGCGGGAGAGCGACAAGTTTGCTTTCTTCCCTTCCCATCCCCTTCTTCCTCTGACCCCTCCTCGCGCCGGGATCGCCACCCCCCTCGCCTCCAGCTCCCATCTCTCCTTCCAAGTGTCAGCTCAGCTATTCCTGTCCTCCTCTCTCGACTCCTTAAGCGCATCTTGCCACTCTCTCCAGTGGGATGGTTCTGGGGGGACTTTCCCCCCCCCCCCCGGCCCCGTAATGCCCACCGGCGCCGCAAGTAAACACACAATGCAAGCCAAAAGTGTGCTTGCTAGGAGTGCGTGGTTGCAAGCTACGCCAAAGAATTCTAACCTATCGCGGGTTCAGGGCAGGTCTCCCGTCCTCTTCCAAGCCGTCTGCTGCTCCTAAGTCGCCACTGTCTCCAAACCCTCTTAAGTGGCACTTCCCTCGTTTCTGTTCCTCGTTCTCTGGCGCCGGGAGCGCCTCTCTGGACTGCGCCCCCCCCCCCCTCCAGGTTTCCGCTGGAGCGGTCTTTCCCCTGCGGCCCGCGCACTTTGCGGTTTTCCTCTGCTTTGCCAACTTTTTCACTCCTTCTGCAGCGAGGTGTCCCGTTGAAGGAACTGGGCCTCCGCTTCACCAGAAGGTTGGAGCGGAGACGAAGCAGGAGGTGCCCCCAAAGTGGGCTGGGATCTGAGGCTGTTAGGGAAACTCCAAGGGGAAACCTTACTAGAAGAGCATTTATTGAGCTCCTTCTGGGTGCTAGGCCCTAAAATGTTTAGGCGGGGAATGCTTGAAGGCTTGCGGTATGCTAGGCACTGCGTGCTGGTGGGCGTGGGGAGCGTTGAACGCCCAGTGTGTTCGCTACCAGTGGGAGAAAGGCACTGAGCATCTTCTGTGCCCTAGGCCCTTGGGGTTGGGGACTTACTGAGCACCAGCTGTGCGCCTAGGGGAGCAGCCGTGTAAGGGACTGTCTTCTCAGATTCTGGAACAGAGCAGAACTGCAGAGAATGGGGAAGGAGAGAAAATCAGCCCGAGCCCACCACAGGTGGGTCTAGGGCTGGAAGGTGAAGGTCGAAGCTGAGAAAGCCGGCGGCCCCGGGTGCCACGACCCCACAGATGCCGAGCGCTCGGCCCTGGCCGAGTCCTGGCCGAGCCCCGCCGTGCGCCGACACCCTGGGAAGCTGGCGCGGCGCCCGCGGAGAGAGGCGGCAGCCGGAGCGTGGGGGGGGGGGTGACAGCGCCAGGGGAGCTGCGGGGGTGCGCAGGGTGTGAGCCGGGAGCGCGGGCGACAGATGTCGCGTGGGCCGGCGCAGCCCTGGCGCTGGCGAAGAGAGGTGCGTGCTTCGGGACGCTCTCTGCCCGGCCCCTGGAGGTCCCATCCGGGGCAGGTCGACTCCCAGGGGCAGGAGCCACCTTCTGGACGGGGCGCGTGGGATGGGGGTGGGGCAGAAAAAGGGAGTCGAGCGAGAGGCGCGAAGCCCAAAGCGTGGAATTTACGCAAGGGCAGACAGAAAGCGGAAGGAGAGGGAAATAAAAAGCGGGCGGCGAGACCGGGGAAGAAAGATGAGGGAGCCGGAGAAAAAGAGAAACGGCTTGGAAAACAAATTGCAAGATCGTGGGGATGTGAATTAGAAGGAAGATGCGAGCAAGAGGAACCCAGAGGACTGGGACGCGGCTTCCCACGGTCTTGGGGTCCAGGCGGGGCAGGGAGAGCGCTCCCTTCCCAGGACGGGGCGGTGCGGGCTGCTGAGCGCCCACCCCGGGGTGGGGGGCGGAGAACCGGCCGTGCGCGCGTCGGGGCTGGGGGTGCTCCCGGGGCCCGCGGTGGAGGCGGCCCCGGGAGGTGGCGGGAGACCTCCGAGAGGGCGCGCGGTGAGGACGGAGTGCGCCCCTGTGCGCCCAGGCCGGGAACAGGGGCGGGGGTTGGAGCTGGGAGACCCGGGTCCACGAAGCGGGGGAGGGGGCCCGACGGGAGCTTCGCGGCGGCGGCAGATAATTGCCGGTGTCGGATGTATTGCCCCCTCCTCCCTTCGCTTCTGCCCCAGAGTTCCGGGCCGCTTCTCGACTCCAGATCACCCCTGGGTTCTTCTTTCCCCTCCTGAGTCCCGCCCGGCCTCCCCGGCAGCCACACCCTCCCGAGTTCTCCCTCCTCGCCTGCCCTGACCCCAGAATGCCGTGGGCTTCCCCGGGGCGCCGCGCCTCCCTCCGTCGGGACACCAGCGCTCGTGTCCTGGGGTTCGCCAGGCGTGGGCTCCCAGCCTCCGTCCCCCTGTCCGAGGAACTCACGTTCCCGGCCCCGCCGCCTACCAGCCTGCAGCTCGCTCGGGCCTTTCGTGTGCGTTTGGCTTACCTGGGGGGACACCCGTCTTTTCCAGGCCTCTCCGGCAAGTTGGGAAGAAGTGAAAGACAATCCACTGGAGAAAGACAATTTGTTGAGTTCTGTCTGCGGTCCTCTCCGCTCTTCCTACCCGAGAGGGAAAGTGGGAACTCATCATGGGATGACTTAGGAATTTCAGGGAGGCCTGAGTCAGCCCTGTGGGGCAGGCCCTTCTTTTAGGCGTTAAGGGTGACCTTGGCTATATGCAAGATGACAATTTCAACAAGCTTATTTTGAGCTGCTGCTGTGAGCGGGCGCTACTTTTCTCAGACGCCATCATTAAACAAACAAACAAACACCCCAGACTCAGTTTTCCCCATATGTAAAATGGGGACCATGATAGTCCTTGGTGGCAAAGGTGTTGTCAAGAGGGTAAAATGAATTCACCTACAGAGGGTTCTAGAACAGTGCCAGAGGCATGAGAAGTAGATATACAGGTAAGCTGCCATGCTTATGATTGTGCATTTAATACCTTTCTTTCCCCAAAGAGATCACTTTCTGTTGTTGGCAATTGCTGGCAATTCCCCACCATCCCTACATGCCCTCTTGGGGACTCAGAGCCAGAGAGGCCAGGATAGCACAACGGTAAAGAGCATGGGTTTAGGGACCGGATGGGCCTGGACTGAAGTCCCGGCCCAGGAACTTGCTGGCACTGTGGCCTTGGGCAAGAATCATAACCTTTCTGAGCCTTTATCTGTAAACCGGAGCTGTGTCTCTTCTAGAGTTGTTGAGGAGGCTGTTGGGGGGAGCATCCATTTAAAGTACCCCAGGCAGCACCTGGCACTTAGTTCACTCATCAGAGGCCGTTATGAAATGGGTCATGCCATTCTGATGATTTCAAAGGGGAAACTGAGGCAGAGAGGGTTCACTGAGTCCCAAAGGGTTGGTGGCAACATCAGAAATGGAATTGGGTTTCTGTCTCTGAGCACACAGTGCCCCGGCCTCAACCCCGCCCGGCCCAGATGACTTGGGGGTGCAGGGGAGAAGACACTGGCAGAAAGCAGAGGGGGGTGAAGAGTCGTGAATTCCTGCACTAGCCAGATTCCCTTTCTCTGAGAGCCTCAGGGGAGTCTCCTTGGAGGCTGAGGAGGCCAAGGGGAGATGGGTGTGATTGAAGCAGTCACTGCAAAAGGTTCCAGAGAGAACAAAAGATGCTTTCTGGTGAGCACTGGCTGGTGGAGGAGGGGAGGGAGGCAGAACTGTGCCCTGGGAGGGGGCAGGGAGGGAGAGAGAAAGCAGCTGGGGAGCCTGGCTGGGAGAAGGGGCCAAAGGTGGGCAGACCCTTGCCTTGGGATGAAGAAGAAAGGGAAAAGAGGACTCCGCAGGCCCAAGAGCCAACACGGTTGGGGACAAGGAAGATAATGGGCTAGCAGCAGCCTGCTTTAATGAATTAATGACAGCCTGGCCTGATAGACGGACGTGCTAACTGGTTCTTGGCAGGTACTTTGGGGACTAAGTGGTTAAACCTGGAGGCGCCACCCAGCCGCTGCACCCCTGCCAGGATTACTTTTAGAGCCTGAAAGCCTAGGCCAGGGGAGGGAGCAACCCATAGGGAAGGAGACAGCTGTTGGGGAGGTACCTCCCGGGAAGGGGCCAGATGTGCAGGACCTTGGCAGCCTTCCCACCACATGGTCCCTGTCTGGAGTCACCCGCTTGCCTAGAGACAGGCCAGGGCACAAGTGGCTGAGCTGTCGTGTAAAAACAGCCGTACCCCGGGATAATTAAATACACCCCCAGAGGTGGGCAGGGTGGATTTGGCAGTTTCTGGCTTTTGACAGTCGGCTTTTCAGACCTACACTGGGGGTAGGGAGGGGGCAAAGCGGGGGCTTCTCTTTCCCCTCTGGTCATCCCCAGTGTGACATGTGATAGGATTTCATGGGAACAATGGCATGCCCCACAGTCTATGACTTGCTTGTCACATAGTAGGCGTATGATAGCTGTGTGATGAATAAATGAATCAACCCGAAACTATTCAAGGTAGGTATTCCCAAATTCAGCTGCTTTCACTTACTCAACAATTCGTTACTGAGTACCTACTGTCTGAAGGGCGTGGTGGACACAGGGGGGACACAGACAAAGAAGTCCCGGCCCTTTAGGGGGAAGAGACAGATGATAAGTTAGATGACAGAAAGATTGTTTTGGTTATTATTGCTGTGTAACTAATTACTCCAAAGCTCAGTGGCTTAAAACAATTGTCTGACTATGCTTATACATCCTGTGGGTTAGGGATTCGGAGACGGCATAGCAGGGGCGACCAGCTCCAGGCCGGTTGGGGGCTGGAATCACGGTGGGCATGAGGAGGAGGTAGTGGGGATCTTCGCTGCGCCTCCTTTGTGGCCTGGGCTTTTCCAGAGCCTGGGAGCCTCACGGTGGTTGGATTCTGACCTGGTGACTCAGAGCTCCAAGAGCGAGTTTCCAGGGGACCCAGGAGAAGCTGCTTTGCCTTTTTCTGACCCAACTTCAGAAGTCACTTAAGTTAGAAGTAAGTCACAAGCCAGCCCATATTCAAGGGGAGTGGAATTAGACACCACCCCACGGGGGAGTGGCAAGGTTCTAGAATAGCATGTGGGACTGGAGATAATGTGGCCATTTTTGGAT